AAAGCAACCTTCTCTCGGCGGCTATGTAGGATGGCCGGCTATATTAAAACTAGAATTCCGAGATCTCATACCTCCATGAAATATGATCTTGATGTGTAAATGTAAATTTCTTCTTTAATTGTGCAAATGACCTCTGCATTAACATGATATATGCATCGTGATGTATGTTAACTTTTGATTAACTTACAGATGTCCCAAGTATGACATTCTCATCATTCACCATTACGAAATCATAGAATTTTCGCATTAATTATGCAAATTAGGTCATCATTTGCATAATTAGTATCTGTTGAAGTTCCGCCTGCCATAGGTTACATACATTACATGTATGTAAGTAGTATAATGTAAAACACTGTAATTATAGAATTTCCTCATTAATTATGCAAATTAAGTCCTCATTTGCATAATTTGCATATAATTATGCACACCTCTCTCTCAGCTACCTACACACCAAAAATAATGAAAATATGTTGTTCCTGTCTGGACTTATTGGCTTTTAAACATTTCGCCAGAAAGTGCCCTGCAGTTCCAGAACAAGCCGCTATGGGGCCCAAACTCATATGACTTCTTCCCAAGCACGAGAGCTACCTTCCATCAAAATTTCATGACCCTAGCATGTCCAGATCGCGAGATATCAAAACCGGAAGTTGCGCTGCAGTACCAAGGGAAGCCACTAGGGGGACCAAAATCTAATCATTTCCAGTTTTCGTCACACCCTACCAACACACCAAGTATGAAACCAATCCATCCAGGCGTTCTTGAGTTATCTTGTTGACCAACAGACGGACGGACAGACGGACGGACAGATAAACGCAACTGAAAATATAACCTCCATGACACATTTCATGGAGGTAATAACGCGTTAAAAACTCTCCCCACCGCCGCGGGGCCTGCACAGGAGGCTAGCCTACTACCGGTATTACGTGATAGAAACACTGTAAGCTGAGATCATTATCGGATCACGTGGTTTTCCGAATACGGGTGAGCTGGTCTGACCAGGGGGCAGGACCCCAAGATACAACTTCTGCGCGCCTTTGCGGTTGTCTGTTAGAGACTAACTTCTCCTTGGTTGAACAAAGGAAGGTCCTTGGTTGAAGATTTCAGTTGTCCATCCAGGATAGGAGGAAGTTGGATCTAATCAGAAAGCAGAAGTAACGGCCCGGACCAGAGGCGAGCGCGTCTGTTTCGCGCTACGTTGTCCTGTGCTGCTACCGTATAAACATGTCAGACTCTCCGCATCATCCTGCTTGGTTTGTTGTCCTGCTGTCACTGTGCTGCTGCTGGACAGTCTGCTCACCGCGGCCACACCATCCTACTGTCCCAGGCACACAACCGACCCAGATCCACCTGTCGTATACAGGTAACTGTTACATATTTATGCTTTCCAACTTATCTTGCCCCCCCCCCCATTATTGTACTGAAAACCTTAAAGGCACTCTATGTAGTTTTTTGCGCAAAAATTTGGAATATTCTGATTATACTAAATTTCAGTGTTATTAACAGTTACTATCACTTTTCAACACATTTGTGTCATTATTTCACATTTTTTACGTATATTTTGTCCGTTCAAACAATCCTTGCTCAGTACCCGGTGCCACCGGTTTGCTCTGAGGACAACAACAACAACATACAGGGGTTGCCCCCTAGGGTGACTAATTGGCCCGGGCATGCCAGGCTTGATTGACAGGGGCACATGTGACAAGATATAGCCTCCTTAGAAAAACACTCATATCTTTCACATGAGGTGGAATATAATTATCAACTTGGCGTATTTTGTTGGGCATGAATAAACTGTGGTCATCATCCCTTCAAAAGAGATAAAAGATCTGGTAAACGATTAGGTATTTCAGAAACTGGTAAGCTATCAACTGACACCCCACTGGGATGTAGGTCAAACCACTGGCAGTGGGCAATACCATATGTACGGTGTGGCCTGGTGTGGCCAGAGGTTGAATAGAAGATCATTCACAGTTTTCTAAGCTTATAAGGAGCAAGGATGTTGTATTTTTTTGTTGCGGAGTATAATTTTGGAATACTAAAGGGTTAAGTCAATGTACTATGTAAAGAAAAGAATGAAAAATATACTTTTTGTATTGTCAAAAAACTACATAACGTTATTCATAACCAAGGCTACCAGGATAGGCTACCTGGATAACCCTTTTTGGACCCCAAGGGCATGCATGGGGTTTTGTCGTCATCTGGAATTACTTTGAGGAAAACCAGGGTCAAGTGCAGTTCTCATCAGTTGCTGTGGAGTGGGGGGGGGTGTCAAGTTCCATTTAGTCCACTTTGACAGCTGTGCTATATTTTTCCCAAAAATTTGATATCAATGCCAAAATTCCTTAAAAATGTTGTTTTATCTTGATCATTAGGCTCCCCCACCTCTATGGTTGTGACATGGAGTACCCTGAACAACACAGCTTCTATGGTTGAATATGGACAGGGAGACTTTTCCCTGAGAAACTCTGGGATTAGCACGTTATTTGTGGATGGAGGGAAGAAACACAACGCCCAGTACATCCACAGGGTGGTCATGACTGGACTCAAACCAGGATTTCGATACAGTAAGACTTTTCAACATTTGTGTTCAGCTATTCAATACATGTAACATAATACAATGTATTTAAATTTGATTTGAGCTCTTTGAGTGCCAAAGGATGCAACTCTACGAAGGTGCTTAGACTTAGAGAATCATAATATTGTGGCTGAGGATTCACATGATCCATAACTATCAATGATATCTCATTAACATAAACTAACTAGTTATCGTTACATGATGTCACTTGACTTGACTTTTTGTAAGATTCATCTGTATCGGTACAGCCAGTATAAAAGCCCTTTGGCTTAACACACAAGCTGCTATCATGAAATGATTCTGGTGTTCTGATGTAACGCTACTAGTCTACCATGTGGGGAGTGAAGAGTCCTGGAGTGCCATCTACAGTTTCACGGCGGTGCAGGATGACACCAACTGGAGCCCCAGGTTTGCCGTGTACGGAGACCTGGGCTACGAGAACGCCCAGTCTGTGGCCAGGCTCACTAAGGAGGTGCAGAGAGGGATGTACGATGCCATTCTTCATGTTGGTGAGGAATAGTCTGTTCTTTTACTGTGTTGTGCAAATGGAAGCTGGAACTGCAAGCCATATGTTTGGAAATGTTTGGTACAGCCTCAGTATAAGACCAGCTTCAAGGGGTTGGTTAATAACATTCCAATAGGGCCCGCAACATTATAGAACATAAGAAAAATTTTGAAGTAGAATTTTCCGCAGTACAAGCCTCTGGTTAATATCATTCCAATAGGGCCGGGTTGGTGGAAAAACCGGTCCAGTCCAACCCTGTCACGTGTAGTTGCGCCCCCTGACAGAAAGTGATAGAACTGCATGTGGTCCGGCACCACACTGATGTGCCCCCATATATCCCAGCATAAGACGCGCTGATTGGCTAATGTTGATGTTTTTGATTAAGATTCGATTTACTGGAAGAATGGCGACGCTTTACGCGATATCGTGATAACAGGCGCAAGTAACATTATATGAAATAAAAATTTTGAAGTAGAATATGGGCACTAATACAATATATACACCAAGGACATATGTTTTATAAATGATTTTGAATATGGGCACTAATATAATACACCAAGGACATATGTTTTATAAATGATTAGCAATATGATGATATGCCAGTGCCTTTTTACCTGATCTATGTTAGTTCTGTGACTCCAATGAATAAATACATTCTCCCTATTTTCAGGTGACTTTGCCTATGACATGAATGATGTAAGTAAAACTCTCCAACAGTGATGTGACAGTTAATTGTCTTTTAAGACAATTAACATTACTATTAGAATTAACAATTAACATTACTATTAAAATAGTAGTGTTCAACATTGTCTACCATATTTTTGCACAGTTCCATTTTGCAGTAAAACAATATTCACAAAGTTGGTGAAAAGGTAACAGAACACTGGTATACGCAAATTGTGGATCCTAATAAAGTTAAAGTCAAACATCAAACATCTAGTGTCATGCTTCACAGAATATATTTTTTTTCATGGTCTGCATTTTGCTCTCCTACCATACCATAGAAAGTATGTTAACTTAACGTCATGTTTTCCATGCCCACAGAAAGATGGAGAGGTTGGGGATGCCTTCATGTCCCTGATCCAGCCTATTGCTGCTTACCTCCCATATATGACATGTGTCGGCAACCATGAGACTGCGTAGTAAGTTACATTTAGTTGTGATATTATAGATCATCATACTGTAACGTGTGAGGTGGCAATTTGTGTAAAGAGACAATATAGAGAACATTGATTTGGATCAGCCCATTAATTAGTATTTTGTCATTGTGGCATGTTCATTAATAACTGAATCAAGGTTTTTCTTATTAGATGTGCAGAACAAATATATAACCTTTATCAGACTTTGCCATTGCAACTGTTCCTTCTTTGTTTTTCTAGCAACTTCTCCCACTACATCAACAGATTCTCTATGCCAGGGAGTCATGGCAAGGACATGTTCTACAGGTAAGAGACAGGCAGTAGATACTTCGCTTGGTATCCAAAACTATTATAGCTGCCGAGTCTATTTTGCCTGTGGAGGAATGAAAGTCTTGGCAGCTATAATAGGGGACCTTTGACCAGTGACACGAGCAACTTTTCAATAGTCACTGTTAACATTAGTATCATCCTAGTCTAGGCACCTGTAACTAAGGTGATAAATGTTGATTTCAGGATAAAGAATCTCATCTCTTTTTGTTCCCCCAAACTTTCCATTCAAAAGTTTCAACATTGGACCAGCCCACATCATCTCCATCAACACAGAGGTGTGGTACTTGGATGAAGAGGGAAGCAAGGACAAGGTGATCAGGCAGAGGGAGTGGCTGCACAAAGAGTTGGAGGTGGGTGTTTGTGGTTTGGCGTGTGTATGTAGGACTTTTGTAACAGGACAACCTGATATTATTTCTTAACATCACTCACATACATTGCACCTCTGAGCGATGCTTGTCAATTGTCTGACTGTTCATATTTTCTTCTAAAAAAATTAATGCAGGCCGCAAACACACCAGAGCAACGTCAGAAACAGCCATGGATCATCCTGATGGGTCACAGGCCGATGTACTGCTCCAATGTGGCAAAGGACTGCATCATGGATGAAAGCTTTGTAAGTGTGTTGGCATTGAAAGTGTTTATGTCGTGACTTTTATACAATTGAGCAGCATGATGTAGGTGATTGTAATGGACTGGTAACAGTAAGTGACATCCTTACATTTGTAAAGCTCCTGTCATTTCATACTATTTTACTTCAGGCAATGTTTCGCTTCATTGTACATGTATAGGCTTGACATCATTGTTGAAATAACATCTTGCTTTAAAAGTTTTATTTATGAGACATTTTTTGCTTTCCCCTTAGGTAAGGCAGGGTATACCAAAGCAAGGCATGCCAGGCATAGAGGACCTGTTGTACAAATATGGTAAAGTTGTGTGATTTGTATACTTTCTGAATTTGCAGCAGCCTTGGTTCATACCTGATTTTGTGTCTGAACTCCACAATGTTCTAAACATCTTCCTTTCTCTCCTACAGGTGTAGATCTGACTATCTGGGCCCATGAGCATTCCTATGAGAGACTGTGGCCAGTGTATGATAAAATGGTATGTGGCCTCACTCTACCATGTAAGATGCAAATGAATTAGTGAATGCCATGCTCTTTGAGTAACTAGAGCAGGGAGAAGAGTCTGGGTACATATAACGTTACTTCACTAGTTCATAAGCCTGAAGGTGAATCTTACTGTGATACATGTATTTATGTTGTGGGTACTTTAGATCTGTTGATAGAATATTGAAGCTCCTTGGTCCAACTTTTGAGTTTTGATTCTCTGGGAATATTTTATATTCATTTTGCTCCTCCATCCATCAGGTGATGAATGGAAGCATGAGCCAGCCCTACACAAACCCCCAGGCACCTGTGCACATCATCACTGGATCTGCTGTAAGTCAACAAGTTTGTATTAATGCCTGGCATGGGTTGTAGTACAAGATTTCATGGATCAGTATGTTCGCAAGCATCAGGGTCTGATGCATGTCGGCTGCAGACATGCATAGGTCTTGCTTGGTTGATCTAGATTTTATTGAATGTACTGGGTACATAAAATAGAACTCTTTGCCAGTGTTGTTGCTGTATTATTTGACAGGTTGCACAGTTAAGTGTTGATCCAGCCATGGACTAGAATAGCCACTGGTTTTGCTCACATTTTGGTTTAATGAACACTTATTTATGTATTTCAGGGCTGCAAGGAGAGGCTGACACCATTTGTACCCAACCCTAAACCATGGAGTGCTTTCCGCCTGGATGACTATGGGTATATCCGCATGACCATCTTGAACTCAACACACCTGTACCTGGAACAGGTGTCAGATGACCAGGTGAGCCGTCCCACCTTTGAACTGAAATTGAACTACAGTAGATGTCTTAGTGATCCCATGATGCCTCTACATTGTAGTCTGGGCGCCATCCCCTTAGTTACTGCCAGCTGCCTACCACTGCATGTGGTTGCGAGTGACATCGAGGAGTTGGCAGTAACTATCGAGGATGACACCCAGGCTAGATGCATCATGAACCTTTTCTAATCTTTATAATGATATCCAAATCTTTTCTGGTACATATAGAATACAACACGGGGTATTCCGTATCGCCCGAGGTACCAGCCCAATCGCGCGTCGGATCGCCCGACGGCCGAAGGGAGATCTGATCCGCGGGAGGGCTGGGACCGAGGGTGATGCGGAATACCCCGTGTTGTATTTTATTTATGTCATACCCACCCAAGAAAACACGCCTTTTAATGCGAAATAGGCGAACATTTGGTGTCCCTAAGCCCAAACAATGCAACAACATCAATTCCAATGTCCGAATTTTGTGTTCGAATTTTCGAAAGCGGTGTAAGCGGTTAGGGCGAAACTCGTTCGAATCGTTCTATGGAACATTTGGAAGCCCCAGGCCGTATGCGTTCAGAACCCCCGGGCCGTACCGCTAGTTATCACACGGGCCGGAACACCCGTATCGAACGTAATCGCGGCCCAGGTAGGACATAAATTCAGTTACAGACTGTAGCTGCAGAACAGTGGATATTATGAATAAAGTACGGGTACCTGAACTTACCTTTTACAAACATATGTACTTACCCAGGCTAACACAGCCCTTGAGTACCAGAGGGTAGAATGTAGTTAGTACATTGTACACAATGATTTGGACAGATGACAGCCAATGATTCCCACTTGTCTGTTCTCTTCAGGATGGAGTTGTTGTGGACAGCATGCAGCTCATCAAACTCAAACATGACTCCTACTCCACCAGGAGTTACAGTGGCAGCAGAAGGGACTTATAGGGGGGGGGGGGAGGGAGAAAGGGAATGGGGGGCAGAGTCTGGTGTTCTTCAACTGTTCTTCAGCAGTTGAAGAACACCAGGGGTTCTACCATTTTAATAGATCACCTGGATGTCCCAGGGTTGTTTGCTAACATTTGAGATGTTAGAACCTCAGAAACACAGAACACTAATCACCAGGGGTGTTTGTGTACAATTTTACAAACGTTTATGATAATATATACTAGTATTCTATGTGTGTGAATAATGTATATTTTCGTTGTCACATCAATTTTTATTAATATTATACATGTAGTATAATGAAATAATAGATGGTTTTAGCATGTTGAGAATAATGAGGCTGTTGAGAAATAACTTCTTATAGTTACACAGAAAAATGTTTTGCAGTCACAAGGACCTTGGGAATGATGCAATGATGATATTCATCATTGTATATTTTTAAAGTAGACAGCTTTAAGTACTATTCTATTGTATAAGCTGGTGGATTGATAGCTGCTATCAAAACATTAAATCAAAGAGCTTATATCTCCTTGAACTTGTTTTATTAAATGTGAATCTCTGACTGATTCTGTCCATGCATTTTCCCACTGGCTCCCCATAAAGCAAGAGACATGCATACAGCATGCAATAACAGGAAATGGAATAACCTTTTCTTTGACCCAGCTTTGCATCAATTCACCCAACATGCATATCATGTGAAAGTAATTACAGAAACACAAGTAGACACACAACAAGATTTTGTATGACATTCCATTGATTATGCAAATAGAAATATAGGATTTTCTTGTAACCCAATACTGTATTGGTATTTATAAGTCAAAGTGTGAAGATGCTCAATACATTTCAGACAGCACTGTAGGTGCTTTATGAAAAAATAATCAGTATTAGATTATTGTCAGATATCTCTCAATTGTATGATACATGTACATTGAAATAGACAAAATGTAGTATAACTTCAAGTTGAATCAAAAAGTGAAATGCCCTCAGAAACATTTATTACCTTAAATTCTAAATGTTAAACCAGGATACTACAATCACCCAGTAATACTTCATTACTTAATAATCCAATTGCACTGTGCTATTTTCCAGCAAAATATACAGCATAGTTCATTATTCAATATAGATTTACATTTTTTATAAACATAATTTACGTACCTTACGTCCAGCTTACTGTTTTTAAAATACATCATTGATATAGATCATAAAAGCCATTCTTCCATTACTTGCTCAATTCTAAAAATGTAAAATCTAAGGCACAGATGGATTAGCAGCACTCAGCAAAATAGCATCATGTCACAATTTCTCCAACAAATCTGTAGCCATGTTGAAACTGCTACTTCTGTAACAATTTCTCCAACAAATCTGTAGCCATATTGGAACACTTCTGTAACAATTTCTCCAACAAATCTGCAGCCATGTTGAAACTGCTACTTCTGTAACAATTTCTCCAACAAATCTGTAGCCATATTCAAACAGCTACTTCTGTAACAATTTCAACAATCTGTAGCCTTGTACAGTACAAACGGCTACTTCTGTACCAATTTTTGGCAGTCTTGCTTGTGTCCATCCTTCCAGTGCTTCCTCTGACACTCCTTTGAGCAGTAGTGGGCCCTCCTACAGGAGGCACATTTGCCGAACTTCTCCCCAAAGTCTGGCATCCTCCTGCAGTACCCACAGATGAAGTACATCGCTTCTCTTTGGATCACCTCATTTCTCTCGTCAGGATCCATCCCTGCGAAGCATTCACTCTTCAAGTTCTTGGAATTCAGGGCTTCTCCCAAGAGCTGGATCAGTTGCTGTAGGGAAAAAAGGAATAGCTTAGAATGAAACAACTGGACTGCACATTTGAAACACAGGGTTTTGGAGAAGTTGGGGGTACCCCTTTTCACCTTTTAGATGTTTCAACCACTTTTTCCTATGGGTCCTTGTCCAATCATACATTTGAAAATTTTGTTCAATTTGACAAGCAATACCATTTTTTATCTGATACATATAACTACCAGAATGGTCACCAGCTTATAAAAAAGCATATGAAAACTTCTAATTTTCCTTTCAATCCCAGATAGACCAAGAAGATTGCACAGATCTATTCGTGTATCTACATGTATAATACATCAGAATGACACCAACATCACTAACTTTGTAAGGTGTGAGTTGACATACCTCTGTGCTAGGTCCTCCTTTCCAGGCCGGATCCATAGGTTTATTGTACTTCACTTTGACACCTCCTTCTGCACCTGGAGACTTCTTCTGTCCTGCCCGCCTCAGAACATCCCCAACACTCGGCTTAGACTCATACTCCACACGCTTTTCTGGCTCTTCTCTGGATCCTCGCTTCTTCACCTTGGATTGTTTACTACCCTTTCTACCTTGCTCAGTTTTCTCCTTGACAGACTGTTCTCTCTCCTTAGAAGCATTTAAGCCCTGCATCTTGCTGAATTTTGCTGTGAGATCTCTCTGATGGAGCTCTGCGATCTTCTGCTCCATGTGGCAAACCTCTTCCTTTCCTGGATCTCTCCCCCTCTCAGCAGTTGATTCCTTTAAATTCACTTCTGTGCTGTGCTCTTTCTGTTTTTCCTTTGTGTTGTTTATACCGTGCACAACTTCTCCCTCTGATCTTTCTTCTGAGCTGGTTTTGTCCCATTTAGACTAGCTGTGTCATGATCATCCCACTCCTCTCTGTGTTTCACCATCAAGGCTTGGACAATATATTTCTCTAATGCTTCGTCCGTTCCCTCTGCAAATGCTTGTTTCCAGTCCACTCTTTTCGTACCATCCCTCGGATCTCGCGTCATGTTCCTCTCACTGTAACTGCCTTCTTCGTGTCCCTCGTCAAAACCTGACCCTTCCCGGATTATGATCATTTTCCCCTCTTCCTTTATAGCTTCCCTAATGCTCTCCACAGTGTCGTCTGCACGTTTCCAAATGCTTTTGTGGCGAAACCCTGCAATTTCCTTGTCTGTGACGCTGTCTTCATCCAGGTCCAGTGGCTCCCTCATCAGGCTGAGAGGTTTGAGGCGTGGGGCTGGCCCGTACACCTCATACTTCCTCTCCCTTGTTGCCCCATCAAGAAGGATCTTGTCACAGTTTGTCTCCCTACAGTAAAGGGATGGTGATATACAATTCTCTACTTCATTCACTGTCATAAAAGGACTGGACCAGAGAGTGTTGACATTTCTGCTTACTGTACTATTATTAGATTGTAAAACTAACTACAGTCTGTAGACGGTGGCATTTGACAGCATGTAAGGAAAGTCATGTAGTTCACAACCCTCAATTGGAGCTACAGGAGATTTCTTGTCTCCCAACACATGAGGCAGTCAGATAAGAGTGTTCCAGCCAGTTCGGTAGGTGGCCATTCTGTCAACATTCTTCCAGTTCAGATTTATATTGGAGAGAGCTATGGTAACCATTAATTTCTAGGTACATGTAAGCTCAATTATTTCCTGTTGGACACCCAGGGTAGTCAAGAAGATAATAGAGAAGGGATAGAACTTCACCTGTACACTTTCAATGTCAAGTCCTCCCCGGACAGTGGACAGCCTGCAGCCTTCCATTCTCGCTTCTGGCTCACAAGAGTCCACTGTTTCTCCTCAGGGTCCTCCCCATCCTCCACAGGGAACTTCTCCTGAAGCCACTCTACTAAAGGTAGAAAAATAGAGGATAAGAAAGTAAATGAAAATTAAGTAGCTTGTTCATGATACTTCCAATGCAAATGATGAAGGCAATGGAGGATCTGTACATGAAAGTTCAGATTGTCATACCAGGTCAACAGTGTGTCGTTGACTACCAGTCTAATCAAGTTGTGTTCATTTTTCACCATAGGCTCACAACATAATATCAAATCATAACAGCAATTGGAAATTATTTCCTTCTGTAGAAATGACAAGAACTATGATTGAACAAATAACTTAAGCAAGTGCCGACTAGCACTTACATGCTCTAGTTTTCATCTTTTCTGCCCCTCTCCTCTTCTTTTCCAACTGCTCACAGTAGGACGGGTCTTGCATGTTTCTCTCCTGCCTCCGCTTCAGCCAGGCCACTCGTGCATCGTACCTCTCCTGCATTCTCCTCACCTTTTGGGCGACACTCCCCGTATCCCTACCACCAACCATCACTCCTGGAAAAAATACATGTACGTTACGACAGAATTTACTACTGTGTCATTTGAACTTTTATAGAAGACCTGCCTTATAAAAACACTCTATGAAATGTTCAATTTTCACAAAGCTATGCCCTCACATACAAGTTATTCCAGTTGTAAAATACATGCAGAATTTAATGCCTTTGCCGTGATTAAGTGCATATACGTACTGGGACACTGCTTCATAAGGATGTCTTCTGTGCCCTCCACTGGAAGCTCAAAAGTCTCCAGATAGTCGATCCAAAACTTAGCGTTCCAGGTCCAGTCGATCAGACCCTCTCGGTATATCACCTCTGCAATGGACCAGCTTTCGTGTCCGTCCAGATTCATCAAGTTGTCCAGGATGACAGTGTTGAGGAAATCGTTATTAGATCGGATGAGGGCGGCACACAAGTAGAACACCATCAGGTTGCGAATCTCCCGGAAGTTGAAGAGCGTGCGATTTCTCCGCGCGATGATGTAGTCCAGGATGTGCTCGAGCATGTAGTCGTCAAAGTAGGAGGAAGAATCCACGTACATCTCCCCCAGTATGTGGGCAAGCGTGACACCGTAGTCCCTGTCCATGAGCCAGTACTTCACCACACACTGGATCTCGTGGGTGTAGCAGTTCTTCCTCACCCACTGGACGTTACAGATCTGGAGGAAGCGTTGGACCTCTGACTTGGCGCAGGTGTTGAGGTAAGGTGCCAGTGCCCTTATGGCGTGCATGTAGATGTAGTAGTCCTCCTCCACATACTCATGGTCCTTGCCGATCCTCTCGTCCTTCAACGGGACCATGATGAAATCTATCAGGGTCCTGGTGATGAAGTCAATGGTCCTCATGGGGTGGTCTCTGTCAGTGGTAAAGATCTCCTGGTAATACTCCTTGCACTTGGTGATGTAGCTTTGCCTCTGCCTCTCGGCACATCTTTCGAGGCGCTGTATTTCGTCTTCTGAGAGCTCCTCCAGTTCATCTTGCATCATGCATCGAGCCTTGTAGTCAAGCAGAAGACTTGGAGCGTACGTCCTCCGGAGAAAGTGGATGTGGAAAAGTGGTGAGAGCTTTGCACACACCCACCTTTCATCTGAAAAAGAGATACATGTAGTACATATATACATTTCCTTAAACTAATACGTAACCTTAGACTGAAGTTAGAGAAAAAATGATGCCTGGACAAGGGGATATCTGAAGTCTTAATGCAAATTCTCACAGGAAAGAGAGAATCCAATATGTACCTGAATCTTGGAATGTTTCTTCATTAAAGATGTTGTCGTTGACTTCATTGTATTTGTTGCTTACATCATTCAAGACACGAAGAACAAGTGCCAGGAGGTCACGCCTTTCTTTCCTCACCTCGTCATCGTTGTTCTTGATGATTCCAAGTGCTGAGGAGGAGAAACAAGGAACTTGACAATCAGTACAAATTGATAGCCTCTACCAGGCTTTGGGAGGCGGCTGGAAAGAGTACGTAGAAATTGGCCAAATAGAGAGATAACATGCCAGAAGAGTTGGTTCGCTAAACCAATTCCTCTTGCATGTTATCTCTATTTGGCAAATTTCTACTCTTTCAAGCTGCCTCCCAAAGTCTGGTGGAGACTAACATTAGTAACGTTAACATTAACAAATTGATACAAATATGAAGGTTACTCGGTTCTCTCTAGCTCCCGATATCAAATGTCCTAAGAACCTTCAGAAAAAAAGTCCTCATTTCATAGTTGTCAATTTACAAGTTGTGTTTTGAAGACCAATTTTGAACTTTGAACAGCTGTCTTATGTCTATAATAAATGTGTAGAACCCACCTTTCAACTGGCGGACGGTTATGGTCTTTGTGCCTATTATGTCTATAATAAATGTGTAGCAGTAGAACCCACCTTTCAACTGGCGGACGGTTATGGTCTTTGTGCCTATTTCTTCAAGAGGACCCAGAAATCTTTCTGGCTTGTGTAGTATGTGAATTTCAGAGTCTTCCTGCTCTTCAGACGTTTTGCTGTGTAGAGCCATTTTCATGGACCTTGCACACCTGGCAACTTCTTCCTCAAAACTCTTCGGAGGCTGCCCGCCAGTTTTGTGCCTGTTTAAGCCTCACATTTATGGTTTGATGCATACATTTCTCTCCCAAACTGAACAAAATATATATATCTAAAAGCTTCAACAATTTATATAGCTGTTTTATGTATCTAATGTCCTCGTTAATTTCTAAAAGGATTTTCTGAGAATAGAATCTAAGGCATGTAAACTATAGACAGCTACTAAGTCTGAGGCCCCAAGCAGTGCAGAAATCAAAATGGCGTCGACCCTTTTGGGTTTTGCCACTCGTTCGCTCGTTTCTAACGGCACTTTGCTCAAACGTGTCGTGCCCCAGACAGCAGCAGCCTTCCAGGCGACTAGGTAAGTGTTAAGAGAGTCAATTTGCACCAGTTTATGGCGTGTTAAAACGAGTGCATTTGCCGAATTCGGATACATGCATGTGTCCTTCAACACTTCGTACGTTGTGTAATTAAGTTGGGGAGGGGGAGGGGTCGTATGATTACTAGTATTATGTGACAACATTCTGACTTTTACACACATTTGGTGACCAAGAACATCGAATATGCCCCATGACACCTATGCCCTTATTACTGTATCTTGACTGGGTTGACGTATGTCTCGTGTTACTATATTTCTCCACGTTTTTGAACTTCTCTAAAAATTATGATTGTTACATGATCATGATCATATAGGCAGGTAGGCATGATCATGTTTGAGAGGTTAGACAATGCTTAGTTTTAGAAAAATCAAGAAGCTTGGTAAATAGAATTTTTGCTTTTGCGTCCTATACAGAGGAGCTAAGCAATGGCATCCAACAGTTGAAGACATTCAGGAATCAGCGGGTGCAGTCTTCTACACAGACCCGAAAGATCCAAATAGATGGGCCAAGGATATCAAACCATGGAGCTGTAAGTAACTTGACAAAATAAGAGGGATCAGTAAACTTGTGGGTCTTTTTGCACGCCTTTGTGTTTTTAATCTATTGTTATGGATATGCAAGGTTGTAATGTATTTGCACCAAAGAATGTACATTATTGTTGTACTACACCTTTGTTCTTTACCATTTTCCATTTGCCTTGTTTACAAAGTACATGTACTATACTACTGAGTAGTACTCTCTGTAAGAGTGTGCCAGTGTGTATGTGCTTCATGCAGCTTCACATACAGTGGTTGTAAAGATATAAATGACATACATACTTTTTTTTTTACATACAGTGTGTGTAATTGTGTATAATACTATAAAGAGCTGTTAGAGGAATTTATTGGGAATAGCCCTTTGTTTTTATCAGCATAAGCATTTATTCCTTGTTTCCACAGCACGGGATCCTGTCCCAGACACGGAGGTCTCCAACTTGACGGTGAACTTTGGCCCTCAGCACCCAGCAGCTCACGGTGTACTCAGGCTGGTCATGGAACTCAGTGGAGAGGTCAGGCTGTACGGATACTAGTTGTAGAGAAGAGAGTTTAATGATCGATATGACCTGCAAAACTGACATAACTATTCTTCAAATGTCGACAGCTAGTACTTTTACTTAAACAAGGGACTTGTTTTGAGCAAGTCCCAGGTAGAGATAGTGAACATTCTCTTATAATTATTCCACTATTGGTAAACTTCCCTTGCCGCTACATCATAGTTTAATATTTATCATTATCATAGTGTTGTACATGTTTTTACTTGTACTGTATGTAGTCTTACAGTTCTTTTGTCTATCACATCATACACATGCAGAGTGTCAAGAGATGTGACCCCCATATTGGACTGTTGCATCGAGGCACAGAGAAGCTGATAGAGTACAAGACCTACTTACAGGTACAGTACCAGCTTCTTAATTCATATCTCTGAATATCTAGGGACAAAAATTACTGAAAAGAAAATCAAACTTTGAAATTAACCAAATAGATAGAATATTTTGTCAGTGGTGTTCACAGGCACTCCCATAACCTCCAATATATTCTCTATCCATAGTACTGAATGTTTTGTTGCTTGTAGTATAATACAGATCTTTCTGTACCTTGTCAAACTATAGAGAGAAACATTTAATGTCACAATCCTATCTTAATGATTGTTGTTGTCTTATTCCTTCCAGGCACTTCCATACTTTGACCGTTTGGACTATGTGTCCATGATGTGTAATGAGCAGTGCTACTCTCTGGCAGTGGAGAAACTACTCGGCATAGAAATCCCAGAGAGAGCCAAGTTCATCAGAGGTAAGGTCCTTCTTCTTAGGTGGGCTCTCATGTTTCAAAATATATAGATGGGGAATATATTAGATATATCCAGACTGTATAATAGTAAATGTTGAATTGCTGTTAAGTTGATAAAAATCAATTTGTGACTAGTGCTACATGTATGTCTAGTTGGAAAAGATTTGATATGACAAGTGCTTTTTCTGTGCACTGTAGACAGCACATTTACATCATAAAGGTGAATGAAAGGCATTCCAGGAATTTAGGTTGGCTCTCTTCTCATTTACTAGTATTTGGAACATTTGTACAAGTGTAAAGAAAAATATTTTGTATGACTCAATGGCATGCCAATAGTTCTTGCCCCACAAAAGGAAAATTCTTGCCCTATGCCACATCACTTTTCTAAGTTCTAGGCTCACTGTTTGTTTTATCTAATCTGTAGTGATGTTTGCTGAGATCACAAGAATCCTGAACCACATCATGGGAGTGGGCACCCATGCCCTGGACGTGGGAGCCATGACGCCCTTCTTCTGGATGTTCGAGGAGAGAGAGAAGGTCAGCAGTTTCATCTGGAATAAGACCGGATTGTGGATGTGTCAATGTTTATTGGACAAGCTACTGTTAACTTCTCTATTCAAGACAAGTTGCATGTTTTT